CCCCTCCCCTTCCCTCCCTCCCCTCTCTTCCCTTCTCTTCTCTCATCTTAACCAGGGGTCAACAAACTCATTAAGTTACTTTTCAGCCTGTGTTCTAATTCTCTTTTCATCCATGTACAGTACAGATTCTGTCTGCTCTTCTTTACATGGCCAATCTTTGCTTTAGTAGAACTAGTGAATTAAAAAAATTCATGTATTTTAATTTCATTGTTCACTGTTCCTATGAGCCATGAGCCACCATGTCCAGTTCTTGGGTTTCCACACATCACCGTTGGTAACTCTGCTTGGTAGCACATAAATAACATATATGATATTTTTGCTTCATGTGTTGCTTTTACTTTATAACATCTGATTATTTGGTATTCCGTGTGTGAGTGTGTACAATGTGTGTGGGGGAGTAGGTGGGGGAGTGCTCTTACTCACTGCGCAGTCTGATGACAACGGGAAGGCTCTGTAACCATCACAGCAGGGAGCCTATATTTCCTTTCCTTCCTGAAGACGACGTAATCATGTTATTGCGTTTCTGCAAGTCTTTACAACTGAGCCCTAAAAATGCTCGGAAATAGATGGCTTGGAATCAAGGAGGTTTTGAAAAACTGCTCACCGAAGCAATGGCAGTAAAGTACAATCCATACTTCTTATTCTTTGCTTATCCCTTTTGATCTTTCTCCTGAGTCAAAGGTAATGAGACAGAGATTCAATGTTGCTGGGATGCAGACCTTTCTCCCAAAATTTAATCCACACATTTTCTATTTTCACTTTGTCTTTGTGTTTTGTTTACTATTGTAATTTGTACTCCCAATGGTCAAGAAATAACCTTTCTATTATTAATAGCCTAGGTCATTAACGGTAACATATTTTACTTGGCATTGGCTGTGAAAAGAACAGCGTTACCATTTGGGCTCTTTGCTTTTATTTTCCTTAATTATTGGCTTCCAGATTTCTTCTGGCTATTTTATTAGGTGATTCTCAATGCATGAAGTCAATTCTATAATAGTTACAAACGCTGGAAGAACATATCTCATTTATGTAATTCCAATCCTCACTCTAGTATTGAATTATTAGAATAATTTTGAACCCCAGCTTTCTTGTTTCTCTTTGTTTGTTCCCAAGAGAAAGTTTTAAAAGATTCTTTGTCTTAAACATTTAACTACAAATTGCTTTGTAAATGGTAACCATTATTGGTTTGAAATGATTCTGTTTACTTTTTTGGAAAGGGACTTTGTAAAATAGCTGGTCCTGAACTGAGATACTGAGGCTACCAATATCTTCATAGCCTTACTACAATTGCATATTTTTCTCTTTTCTGACATAATAGCTTGAATTCCCAATGGAAATCAGAAGGTTCAGAGATGGCTTTAATGCTTTGGAGAAACCTGAGTGTTCTCTCATTACCAGGGCTATTGCTAAACTACCTAAGCTGTTAGAAGGTCACACCCAATTTGCTACTATCCAAAATCTGATAAACTACAGCCTGAAACTCATAGCAATTCTACTGCTTCAGCCTCCTAAGTGCTGGGGCCTTGTGTGCAAACCACCATACTCAGCTTTCATAAAGTTTATATGTGATACTGGGAGTTGAACCCCAGGGCTTCCCATAGAGTAGATAAAATTGTTGATCAGTTCTGTTGAAAAGGAGTTGATACACGTACACTTTAAAGCAAAGTCTTGGATTCTAATAACCTTACATCTTTTTCAGCTTGGTCATAGAGTTGTGGTGATAGTGAACATCGATTTCTGTTGCTTTCCTGGAAAATTTGATTTGTTTTAACAGCGGGAACTACTGAAAAGTACAAGAAGCAGACAGAAATGATGACATAACAGCACTTGGGTAGCTGAGGCAAGAAGATGATGAGTTCCAGGTTAGCCTGGGCTATATAGTGATCTTGTTTTAAGTGTAAGATGCGGTTTCCTTCACATTTTGTTACACTTGAGTCTACTTCGAGAATCAGCTGGTATTTTAACTGAAGGTCTGGTCCAACAGCATCTCTTCTTCCTTTTCATTCCTTCACCTTTCTTCTTCTCCCCTCTCCTTCCCTTCCCTTCTTTCTCTCTCTCCCTCCCATCCACCACCTCCTTCTCTGAGACAGGGTCTCATTCTGTACTCTAATGGTGGCCTGGAACTCACAGCAATTTTCCTGCCTCTGCCTCCCAAGTACTACGGCCATGGGTGCAAACCACATACTTGGCTTTGATAAAGTTTATGTATGATACTGGGAATTGAACACCAGGGCTTCCCATAGAGTAGATAAGTACTCTACCACTCAACTATACACCAAGTTCCCAGAGTACCTTTACACACACACACACACACACACACACACACACACACACACACACACACCACCTCTGAGAGTGTATCTGTAGAATTCTCAGCAGTTCTGTTTCATTAGGAAGACACTTCCATTAAAAGTCAGTTTATTCATCTCTCCTCTTCAGATAGTGACTTCCCACCTCGAGTCGCTGCTACCTGCAGGTGTACAGTGAATAATGGTGTTCTTAAAGTCTGGCTCCTGTGGGCCTTCCCAGCCACTCGGAGGATGTAGAAACCATGCAAATAAATGTATGCTTGGAGGCCAGAAGAGGTCACGAGACCCCATTACAGATGGTTGTGAGCCGCCATGTGGTTCCTGGGAATTGAACCCAGGATCTTTGGAAGAGCAGGCAATGCTCTTAACCTCTAAGAAATCTCTCCAGCCCCATGCAAATAAATGTAAATGCAGACTTCCGGGAGGGTGATGAAATGGCAGAGAACCTAAGTTTTGAAAACTACAGCACTAAAAGTTGGCTGGAAACTCAGTAACTGTGTGTCCAGAGAAGGAGAGAGGGTAGTGCGTTGCCCAGGACCACAGTGTGTGAGGACGGCTGCAGCTCCTGGAAAAGGGTCACTTCTAATGGGGTGTGTGGGATAGAGGAGACCGGTGATGGTGTGGCGCCTAAAGGAGGTGTCGTCCTGCCTTACTTTACTCTACAACTCAAACAAAACAAACCAAAACCCAAACCGTGAACTAGCCTTCGGGTGCTCAGGCGCGGCTTCGCAGCTTCGCAGCTCAGGCGCCGGCACGTGCAGTGGGCGGGGCGCCTCTGGGGGCGGGGCTTCGGGGCCCTCCCCAGGAGGGCGGGCCGTGCGCGTCCAAGCGGCCGCCGCCACGTCACCGAGCCGCTCCTCCTCCCGTCAGTGCCAGTCGCACGCGCGGAAGTAAACACCCGCACGTCATCAGGGCGCGTCCTCGCCTTTCCCCTCCCATCTCCTCAGCTCGGTGGACGTGATCGCCTCTTCTCCGGACCGGGTCTATGTCCCGGTTTCCCGCCGTCGCGGGCAGGGCGCCAAGGCGGCAGGAGGAGGGCGAACTGCCAAGAGAGCTCCAGGAAGAGCGGCCGTCAGCTGTTCGCATCGCTGACAGAGGTGCGGTCCGCGGGACGGCGTGGCAGCCGGCGGGAGTTATTTGAGGGGTGAAAAGTACATTTCTGGGTGGCAGAGGAGAGGGGGAGGAGGCTCAGACGTTCTCTTGGTCTTTCAAGTCTGAAGGCGAACTTTGCGTCCAGTGAGCACTTTGGCTTAGAGGGGGGCGGTCCCAAACCCAAGTTAGGTGAAAACCTCGCCTGGGGGTAAGAAAGTGGACCCAAACGCCCAAAATGCGTTCTGCTCTTCAACAGCCTCATAAAGCCTTTGTTCTCTACCCGTTCATCCCCCTCCCCTTCGCCGGGCCGCCAGCCTGCCTTTGGGTACGGTATGAAGGGAGCCCGTTTCCAGGAGCCAGTTTCCATGGTTACCCACCACTTGGCCTTCTGGGATATCAGTCACTCTGAACAGGGACCTAACTTGAACCGTGAATCAGAAGCAAATACAGGTGGCTTCTTATTCTTCTGAGAGTTGTTCCGCTGAGTTCAGGTTTTTGCTCTGTTGTCTAATAAAACTTGGAGTTTTGTGCTTCTGTGGAGGTATGCATGCATGCATGTCCCCTAGTGCTAGACTGACTTTGTCAAGTACTTTGAGTTACACATCAACAATGTTGAAGTTGTTTGACTGTTGCCAAAAAGTTACTCTAAGTTTAGAAACTTTGACGTGTGATTTGTCCATAGGTGACGTCACTGGAAAGTCGTGAATTGAGCCTTCCAGTTGTGTGATTTCTTTGCTTTTCTTCGTTCGGTTCTGAGACGTTGTCAGAGACAGCTTCACAGGTCTTTTAATTGCACTGTTTTTGTGTTGTTACAGAAGAGAAAGGATGCACATCGCAGGAGGGAGGAACAACTCCAACTTTTCCTATTCAAAAACAAAGAAAAAAGCTCATTCAAGCTGTGAGGGACAATTCGTTCCTCATTGTTACTGGAAATACAGGAAGTGGTAAAACAACTCAACTCCCTAAATACCTTTATGAAGCAGGTAATCTTCTTGGATACATCTGGAAGCACGAAAGAAACAAAACTTTAAGGTCTAGTAAAAGTGCTGTAGTGTGTACATGCCCATTTTGCCCACTTCCCCATTTCCCCATCCTCGCTTTGTCTCCTTTGCTTTATTTCAGGCTCAGGAATTGCTGGTGAGTTTTTTTCCATTTTTATTTGCTGTAGTAATAATAGAAGAAGGCTGGGTGTGAGAGTACATATTTCGATCCCAGCACTTGTTAGAGGCAAGGGCATCTTTGAACTTTGAGGTTAACATAGTTTATATAGTGAGTTCCAGGCCAGCTATGGTTATATGGTGAGGAAGGAAAAAATATAGCAGATAGATGCTAATTTTCTCCTTTTTTAAAAAAATATTTATATATTTATTTATTATGTATACAACATTTTGTCTGTGTGTATGCCTGCAGACCAGAAGAGGGCACCAGACCCCATCACAGATGGTTGTGAGCTACCATGTGGTTGCTGGGAATTGAACTCAGGACCTTTGGAAGAGCAATCAGTGCTCTTAACCTCTGAGCCATCTCTCAAGCCCCGCTAATTTTCTCCTTAGAATAAGGCTGTCTTGTTACCCAGGGATAACTGAAGCGATTTTGAAGGAAGAAGATAGGTGTTCTCTGTTGTTGGCATTTTTATTATTCTTCCTCCAGAGCTTTATTAGGTAATTATTCTCAGATTCTATCAGCATCAAGCTAACAAATGACCGAGAATGTGTCTGTTTCACTAGTATGACAACATTCTCTGTCTTAAAGTTGGAAAAGAGCAAAATCATTTTGGATATGATTCACATTAAAATAAAAACTAATTTGGAGGGGGCTGGAGAGATGGCTCAGCAGATGAGAGTTCTTGCTGCTTTTCTAGGGTCCAGACTTCTGTTCCCAGCACCCACTTTGAACCTGTAACTCTATCTCTGGGGAATCTGATGCCCTCTTCTGGACTCCTGGGCACCTGAAGGTGTACATTCAAGTACAGAGATATACACACTTTACTCGAAAACATATATTTTAAAACTTAATTATTTTTTCATTTTCTTTTTTCTTTTTTTTGGTTTTTCGAGACAGGGTTTTTCTGTAGCTTTGGAGCCTGTCCTGGAACTAGCTCTTGTAGACCAGGTCAGCCTAGAACTCACAGACGTACTCCTGCTTCTGCCTCCCAAGTGCTGGGATTGAAGGAATGCACCATCCACAGCCCAACTTTTAATTAATTTTATTTTGAGAATGGCCTCCATCTATTCTCTTCATGCTGACCTCTATCACGTCTGCCCTTATATTAACCTAATCTGATGCATCAAACCTAATTTGACATCTGCTAAGGCATACCATTATTTTCATGTTATTAAGAAAAAATATATATTGCATCTCCATTTTCATGGTTAAAATATCTTCAGAAATGGGCCGGGCGGTGGTGGCGCACACCTTTAATCCCAGCACTCGGGAGGCAGAGGCAGGTGGATCTCTGTGAGTTCGAGGCCAGCTTGTCTACAAGAGCTAGTTCCAGGACAGGAACCAAAAAGCTACAGAGAAACCCTGTCTCGAAAATTAAAAAAAAAAAAATCTTCAGAAACTTAATGGAAATGTGGTTTATTTAAGTCCAGTTTTACTTCTGTGTCAAGGAAAAGTTTAGGAAGTGTGTGGAGGTTTTTAGATTTCAGTTTTACACTTCTAAAGCCAGGTGCAGTCTGTATGCCTATAGTACCAGCTGCTTGGGAGGTGGAGCCAAGACAATCAGTAGAGCTTAGGAGTTTGAGGGAAGTATGACAGCAGAATGAGATCTGATCTTAAAGTAAAACAAACAACCCAAACCTACAGAATCTTGCCATATTTATGGATGATTTTAAAAATTGAAAAGTGGGGGCTGGCAAGATGGCTCAGCGCTTAAGAGCACTGGTTGTTCTTACAGAGGTCCTGAGTTCAATTCCCAGCAACCACATGGTGTTTCACAACCATCTATAATGAGATCTGGTGCCCTCTTCTGGTGTGCAGGCACACATGCAGATAGAACACTGTATACAAAATAAATAAATAAATCTTTAAAAATTGGAAAACAAAAACCTCACACCTAATTAACACTTGTACATTTAGAATGGTAATGCATGTGTATTTTTTAGAATTAACTTCCTTTTATATCAGTATATGTGTATAGACAGATGTGTGACACAGTGTGCATGTAGAGGTCAGAGCGTAACTGTAGGGAGTTAGTTCCCTCCTGCCTCTGGGATCTGCTGAAGCATCCTTCTGGTCACTGAGTGTGCATTTCTATTTTAAATCAATAGATTTATTTGTAGTGTATTTGCAGATATGCTACAGTATGTTGCAATTTAGAGGATTTTCCTTTGGAAACATTCATTCTATTTGTATTGATTGACCAGCAACAATTTTAATTTTAGTTCAGTAGGAAGAAACCATTGCTAACTAACTTTGTGTGTTTGTTTCTGGTTTTGATAGGATTTTCACAACATGGCATGATTGGCGTGACTCAGCCACGAAAAGTTGCTGCCATATCAGTTGCTCAGAGGGTTGCTGAAGAAATGAAATGCACCTTGGGCTCTAAAGTAGGATACCAAGTTCGTTTTGATGATTGCAGTTCCAAGGTACAATAGTTTTACTGGTATACATTTTAAAGTACTACAAACTTACACCCCTAACTCTTATGTTTGTCTTTCTGTGATCTCGTGTATGTACTTGTGTGTGGTGGTCAATGGGTAACTTTAAGTGTTGCCCCTCAAGTGCCATGTGTATATGTGTGTTGTTTGTTTTTCACTCACGGTCTCCCCAAGTAGGCTAGCTCCTTCATGAAAGCTAGCTTCTTCAAATAACAAATAGGTAACCCTTAAGAGTAGGGATGGCGTGGGGGGATGTATGGCGTGGGGAGACAACTCAGTCGGTAAAGGACCTGCCTTGAAGCATGAGGACCCGAGTTCAGTCCTCAGAATTCACAAAAGGAAGGTATTTTTGTTTTGTTATGTTTTTTGACTTTCATGCATGTAAGTATTTTGCCTGTCTGTGTGGTATATGTGCACCATGTACATGCCTGGTGCCTGAGGAGTCCAGAAGAGGGCACCAGTTACCTGCAACTAGAATTACAGATGGGATGGGTCTACCTTAGAGGTGCTGGCAACTGAATCCCGCTTCTCTGAGAAAAAGCAGCAAGTGTTCTTAACTCCTAAGGCATCTGTCCGGCCCCTAGAATTAATTTTTGTTGCATATGGCTAAAGCTTTACCTCTTAGGTACCCAGTACCCTCTTTTCTCCTTCCTCAGCTAATTTATCCATTATCAAATGAAGGTAATGTTTATTCTTCTTAAGATACTTTTTTTAAAATCATAAATTATTTGCATTTAAAGATTATACCTTAAAAATCTATTTTATGTGTATAGTTGTTTTTGTCTGCATGTATGTTCGTGTGCTACATGCATGCCTGATACCTGAGAAAGGCAGAAGAGGGCATTGGATTCCCTGGAATTGAAATTAATAGATGATTGTGAGTTGTTGTGTAGGTGCAGGGAAGCAAACTAGGCTCCTCTGCAAGAACAGCACTGTTACCACCAGACCATCTCTTCAAACCTAGTGTTGGTGGCTTTCATATCTAACCTATTTTCTTGTAGTACTAAAGTGTACATAAGATGAACTTTGCCATCTTAACCATCTTAAGAAGTGTATAATTCAGTAGCATCAGGTACAGTCACAGTTTACAATGTTGTTTAACTATCACTGCTATTTTCAGATCTTTTTTATAATCTCAAACAGAAACTGCTTTCAGCCCCTGTGGCTCTCACCTCTATGAACATGCCTAGTCAAAGTATCTAAGTGACATAACACAGTATTTACTTTGTACCTCTTATCACACTTAGCTGTTTTCAGAGTCTATTCATTATCTTAGTTTATTTTTTATTACTATGATAAAATGTTAACCAAAACTGACTTGGGGAGGAAAGAGTTCACTTGGCTTACAGGTTACAGACCATCATTTAGGGAAACCAAGGCAGGAATCTAGATGCATCAGTAGACATAGAGGCCTTGGAGTGCTGTTGACTGACTTGTTTTCAATGGCTTGTTCAGTTTGCTTTATCATAGAACCTTCTACAACCATATGTCCCAGGATGGCACTGATCTTTGGAGACAGTTTCTCAGTTGAGGTTCCCTCCTCTCAGGTGACTGACTATATTTATGTCAAGTTGACAAAGACTAGCCAGCTTATTCCATACTGGGTCTTGATGTTCTTGAATCAGTGGGAAACTTGGCAACTTAATTAACCAAGTCAGCAAAGTTTTTTTTAGTTTGTTTGCCATGCTGGGGATATAACCTAGGGCCTTGTGCATGCTAGAAAATGTATGCACTGCCACTAAAGTATCCCCCGTATCTTGTCTGTAAGAATTTATCTTGCCACATTCCACAGACATCTTTGTGTCTCCTTATTGGTGACTTGCTTTATCTCAGGACGCTCCTTAGTTCCTGTTTATTTTGGTGGTGTCTTTTATAGTTAACCATCCTTGTTAAACAGTTTTATGTTTCTTTCAATGTGGTGGTTTGATCTGTGCATTTGGGGATGGGGAATTAGTTGAATCTTAGTGAAGTTTTGTGATGCTACAAGTTGTTGTACTCTGCTTTCAAACATTAGGAAACAGCAATCAAATACATGACTGATGGGTGTTTACTCAAACATATTTTGGGAGATCCAAATCTTAACAAATTCAGTGTCATTATTTTGGATGAAGCTCATGAAAGAACTTTGACTACAGTGAGTATTTAAATTTTTTTTATATATAATAAGTGTGTAGGGCAGTGGTGGTTCACACCTTTAATCCCAGCACTTGGACAGGAGGCAGAAGCAGGCAGATCTCTATGAGTTTGAGATCAGCCTGGTGTACAGAGCGAGTTATAGGATAGGCTGCAAAGCTACACAGAGAAACCCTGTCTCGAAAAAATAAAAAAACAAAAACAAAAAATAGGTCATTTGTTTGGGGTAACTTTTTACTTTATCAAGAATTGCCTCCTCTTAACATTTTATTCTATTGAAATAGAAATTCTTTGGTTATAATAACAATCTATTTTAAATAGCTTGTGATTGGGCATGATGGTCGATGACTTTAATCCTAGCACTCAGGAGGCAGAGGTAAGCAGATTTCTTAAGAGTTTGAGGCCAGCCTAGTCTACAGAGGAGTTCCAGACCACCCTATGCTACATAGTGAGACCTTTTTCAACAAACAAAAATAAAATAAAATAGGTTAGCTGGGCTAGGGATGTAGCTCAGTTGGTAGAGTGCTGGCCTAGTATGTACAAAGCCCTGGGTTGATCTTCAACACTGCTTAAAAATCCCAGCACTCTTGAAGTGGAAGTAGGAGGATTCGAAATTCAGGGTCATTCCAGACTATATATCTAGTTCTACACCAGCCCTGGGCTACTTGAAACTCTGTCTCAAAACATAAATATTTCTTATATTCGGGAGACAGAGGCAGGCAGGTTCCTGTTTTACTTAGTAAGTTCTAAGCCAACCAGAGCTTCACAGTGAGACCCGGTTTCAAAAATAAATAAATAGAAATGAACAAATAAGTAAAATAATAAAATGCTAGCATTTGTGGCTTACTAGATTTTTCTTTCAGGATATCTTATTTGGTTTACTGAAGAAGCTGTTTCAGGATAAGTCTCCTAACAGGAAAGAACATTTAAAGGTGGTGGTGATGTCAGCAACTATGGAGCTAGCGAAACTCTCTGCATTCTTTGGAAACTGCCCCATATTTGATATACCTGGAAGACTCTATCCAGTCAGAGAGAAATTCTGCAATTTGATTGGCCCACGAGACAGAGAAAATACTGCATATATTCAAGCGGTATTACTTAGCAATATTTTTGTGTCTTTTGTGTATGTGATTTTACTTGGGCAATTTATCTTATTTTTACAAATTTCATTTATTGTCATGAATAATACAGGTGTGTATGATGTCTTGTAGGGGTCATGCATATGGTGGTCAGATGACAACTCTGAGGTTGTTGTCTCCATCTACCTTTGTGTGGGTTGTAGAGATTAAACTAAGGTCATCAAGCTTGCGTGGCAAGCACCTTGCTTACTGAGCCATTGTGCCTTCATGAATGCTAGGACTTTGGGGAGCGCATTTTTTTTTTGTTTTGTGGATCAAGAAGATATGGTAGTGAATGAGTATTTTATACCAACATAGGATTATTATATTTTTGCTTTTTTTCTTTAGATTGTGAAAGTGACCATGGATATTCATTTGAATGAAATGGCTGGAGACATTTTAGTTTTTCTGACTGGTGAGCATTCTCTACTAGGTTTAATAATATCTATAGTTTTTAAGCCAGGTATAGTGGTGCATGGTACTAACCTCAGGACTCTGGAGACAGAGGCAGAATGATTGCTACAACTTCAAAGACAGATCAGACTACATACAAGACTAGCTTTGAGCTATATGATAAGGCCCCATTCAAAAACAAAGAGGGACAACAACAAACAAAAACCCCTCAATTCTTCAATAAATAAGTAAGTAAATGAAATGATTTTGTGGATTTTGAGACAAGGTCTTTCTTGATTTATTGCCCAGACCACTCTGGGGAGCAGGCACACATCACTGCACCTAGTTAATGTCTTTCTTTTGGAAGCAGGACATATGACACTGGAGTGGACAGACTGCCCCTTCTCCTAGGATATTTGGACTTCTTTCTCAGCTGTTGCCTTACCTGTTTATGATTCTCAGCTAGATAGTAGGTAGACAGAATGCTAGGCTCACTAATAAAACATATGAACTACACCACCCTTTCATAGAAATTAGCTCTGGAAAGTGGTTTTTGGGGGGGAGTAGAGGAAGGGAAGTTTACTATAGACAGAGCTCTAATTTGACTAAGTAATACTGGTTCTGAATAATTAATTCTTTTATTCAGACATCTCAACTGTCATTCCTTGAAATGGTGAGATAATACAGTGTAGATATGATATAGATTCCATGTATTACAAGCTTGTAGCAGATTTGGGGTGTCAAAAATAGAGCAGTTACTAAGAGTAATTTAAATTTTTAACTGGCTGCATCCTAACAGAAATAAGTTATTTCATTGCTAATGGCTTACTCTGCCAGTACTAATGTCTGAAGTGAGACTTTTAAAACTGTATCTTCACTGTTTGAAAGTTAAGTTCAAGTTTTTGCAATGTACCTGAATTCAGTAATTTCCTGGACTAGTTTCTCCTGTGTGTATTTCAGTCTTCCTGAAACTCTGTATTAACAGCCTGAGGGCTTGAAGATGATTAACACTTTTGCTTCTTTAGAAATCAGAAGCATACTTCTGCTTGAATTTTGTTGTTGAGGTTGGGCATACCTTACATGAAAAAAAAAAGTGATATAACACAACCTTAAGCTAATTTTAAACTGGACTTCAAAAAGATCTTTAAAATTTGCAGTTCAGGCCATGTGGTGGTGGTACATTCCTTTAATCACAGCACTCTGGAGGCAGAGGCAGGTGGATCTCTGTGAGTTCGAGACCAGCCTAGTCTACAAGAGCTAGTTCCAGGACAGGCTCCAAAAAAATTGCAGTTCAGTTCCTGAAGTTCTTCCTTCTCATTCCAGGTCAGTTTGAAATAGAGAAGAGTTGTGAACTGCTTTTTCAGATGGCTGAGTCTGTCGATTACGATTATGATGTTCAAGACACCACGCTAGATGGCTTATTGATACTGCCGTGTTATGGGTCTATGACAACAGGTAATTCCTCACTAGGAAAGAAAATATGACAGGCTTTTAAAGACTTTTTAAAAACTATTTAGTTTTTTTATTTATGTGTTTCTGTGTGTGTCGTGTATATGAGTATATGCTTGTGGGAGCCAGCTGGGCCAGAAGAGAGCATTGCATACCTAGCACTATATTTACAGGCAGAAGTGTGTTGCTTGATAGGGGTACTGGGCGCCAGACTCTGGTCCCCTGAAAGAGTAGCAAGAGCTCTTGACCACTGAACTCTCTCTCCATCCCCCTTTTAAAATGTTTTTCATTAATTACTGTTTATATACAAAACATATATAGATCTCTAATATTTGGGTCAAAAAATCTCACAAACTGGGCTGGAGAGATGGCTCAGTGGTTAAGAGCATTGCCTGTTCTTCCAAAGGTCCTGAGTTCAAATCCCAGCAACCACATGGTGGCTCACAACCATNTAAATAAATAAATAAATAAATATTTAAAAAAAATTTCACAAACTGATCTCGGTTTTGTAACTTCCAGGTCTTAACCCAAATCATGAAGTAAAATGTTAAGAGAACCATCATCCCTTGAGAGAACCAATTTTGTTTAAAGTCCTTTCACGGTAGCTTTCAAGAACCTTGGATCTCCTCAGTATTTTAAGAGTGAATTTTGTGGTCTCCGAACAGAACAAAGTTCCTTTTGGGCATTCTTTCAAATGAGGACTATAGTCTCTCAATACTTAGTCTGCCATTGCTGCAAAATTGATAAAAGTCTTAGGTGTCCTGGTATGTCTTACAATAAACAGAGTGGATTTTTATTCTCTATTAAGTAGCCATATATTGGCCACTTTTCAAGAATGGTCATGTATTTGGTGTGTGTGTGTATGTTCAAAGAGCATATGCAAACTTTTATTTGGCTATAATAAATATTGTTGAATGAGACCTAGAATTTTTTCTGTGAAACTTCTTTTATTATTGGAGTTAACTTATAAAACTTAAAGGTGTGCTGTGGCTGAAGAAAGATGGACCAGCAGTTAAGAGCACTGACTGCTTTTCCAGAGGACCCTAGTTAAGTACCTGGCACCATATGTTGGCTCACAACCATATGTAGCTTCAGTCCTAGAGGATTGAAGCCTGCTTCTGGCCTCCTTGTGCACCACACATGTGAGGTACACAAACATATATGTAGGCAAAACATCCATACACATAAAAAAATAGAAACAATTTTTTAAAATCCCTCCTCCAGCAAATCTTGCTGCTACAGAATTCAGTTATTATATATTTTTGAATGAAATACATCAACCATCCAAACAGATTTGACCTAAAGTACATCTGTATGGTTTAAAGAATATTTAAATTAAGAACTCTAACTTCAACAGTACCTGATTCGCTTCAGCAAGTATTTATGTTTTATTCTACTTACATTTTTTTATCTCGATGGTATCATGTTTTATGATTGCTTTGCTCTGCAACTGACATTTTATTCTTGCCTCATTACCCAGAGAAAGGTCTCTCACTGAATTTGAAGTGCAACCTTTTGGGTAGCCTGGCTGGCAAGCTCTGGAGGTCCACTTATCTCCACCCCTCAATGCTGCGATTACAAGCACATGTGACCATGCCTGGCTTCTTAATGTGGGTTCTGAGGATTTGAACTCAGGTCCGTATGCTTTTGCAGCAAGAATTTTTATTTTAATAGCCACATTTATCTATTTCCCCTTTTGGGTTTGCTTATGAAATCCTTGGCATATCAAGGTCATCAAATTATCCCATGAGAAACAATTTTTTTTAAAAAAAAGCTAAAAATTACATTAGTAGTTAACCATAGAACAGGTGTTATTTTGGAAATATTTTGTGATAGTAGACTCTTGATCACAGATTAAATAGTGATCTCCATTTTACATCATAAAGACAATTACTTTTCTTTTCATTTTTTGAGGGGAGGGGAGTTTGAAACAAGGTTTCTCTGTGTAGCCCTGGCTATCCTGGGGCTTGCTCTATAGACCAGACTTGTCTGGAAACTCCCAACTCAAGCCAAAGCCAAGTCTCAAGGACAGATAACAAAATTAATTCAACTTCTGTAGACCAACTTACATGTTACAAGATTCTGTCTGATTGTGGACCATTGGGTGTAATATACAAACTCAACAACTTGTTTTTGGTTTGGTTTGGTTTTTTTGAGACAAGGTTTCTCTGTCTCAAACTCCATTTGTAAACCAGGCTGGCCTTGAATTTATAGATCTGCCCACTTGTGCCTCCTGAGTGCTGCTATTAGAACTGTGCAGCACCACCCAGTCTAAAGGCAGTCATCCTCCCACCACCCCGGACAGCATTTCTCTGTTCAACAGCTCTGGCTGTCCTAGAACTCACTCTGTAGACCAGACTGGTCTTGAACTCACAGAGATCCACCTACCTCTGCCTCCTAAACGCTGGGATTAAAGGTATGCTCCACCATTGCTTAAGAGCAATTATTAAGGTTCTCATTGTTTTCTGGACTTTGATAATTAACTTTGTAACTAAAAATTTTAGAAACCATGGTAAAAAGCCCAGTGTGGTAATATATGTCTCACCCCTGTGACTACTCTTTTTCTGGGGCTGTTGCTAGCTCTTCTTCCCTAGCTTTGTTTCCCTCACTGAAATGAGACTGCTTCTTAAGATTTCAGTTATAACTTGCCGTTTTCTTAACCATTTCTGTTTGGGAGACATGTCAGACTTACTTTGTGTTTTCGTGACTGACTCTTGAGAGCCTTTTCTACTTCTTTCTTGCTCCTGAGCTGTAAGCCTCTTGGGTTTCTAAGTCAGCTTTCTGACTTGTGCATTTATCGACCTAGATCTTTCAATCCAAGTAAATGGCAACTTATAGAGGTGATCTTTCTTTTTTAATAGTGGCACTTTAAAAAAATATATATTTAATTTTTATGTGCATTGAGGTTTTGCCATTGGTTTCAGGTTCCCTAAAACTGGAGTTATAGACAGGTGTGAGCTGCCATGTGGGTGCTGAGAATTGAACCTAGGTTCTTTGGAGGAGTAACCAATGCTCCTAACCGCTGAGCTGTTTCTCCAGCCCCTGTTCTTTTAGCTGATCATTTCTTTCTTTTTTAACCATTGCTACAGTAGTGTGTGTGTGTTTTGAGTTGTCCCTGTGGTCTACTAATTCATTTTCCCTGATTTAATTTGCCATCGAGTTCAGTGGTAAATATACCCTTTGAGAGTATACTTCTGGTTTCACTATGACTACAAGCTGTGTTCAGCATTATTTCTGAGTCTATGCAATTTTTTTCTATCTATCTACATGATGAAGTTGTATGAGTAAACTCTCATTGGATGTTTTAGTTTGTTTTTTTCTTTTGAGTACTATCATGTGTAAGTTCTTATGATCCATTATGAATATTATTATAGTAGCTTGTAATAGTACAAAGAGGCATTCAGGTGGAATTGCTGCAGTACTGATTAATGTGCTAACTTAGCTATCCCTGCTTCATTTATCATTCTTATTTTGCTTATATTTTGTTGGTGTTTTGCCTGTATGTATGTGTGAGGGTGTTGGATCCTGGAGTTACAGACAGTGGTGAGCTGCCATGTGGGTGCTGGGAAATGAACTCAGGTTCTCTGGAAGAGCAGCCAGTGCTCTTAACTGCTGAGCTATTTCTCCAGTTTCTAAAAATAACTTTTTTGAGATATAATTTACATATGATAAATAAATAAGACATGTAATATTATTTTAAAGCTATGGTTCATTGAATTTTGGCATTTTGTCTACTTACATAATCACAAGCATGATAAGCACCCCGATGTACTCTTTGTCTTCAGATTCGGTGCTTCATTTCAAGGAAATTCTCTTGAATTTTGTCTTTGAATGCAGTTTCTGCTCCTTTTGTTGGTGTCTCTATTTCTTTAGCATAGTCTCTGTCCTTCAAATGTTTGTGGTTTCTTTCTAGTCTGATATGTTTTTAGATGTATTTTTGTAATTATTTAAGGTTTTCTCATGTCAGGAGGTTGATTTTCATGTGTTGTTTATAATGCTCAAGGCAGGGTAGGGAGTGAAAATTTGGATTGATTATTTAAAAAAAAACTAGTTAAAAAAAGAGAGAAAAGAATGCTCAAGGGGGCTGGAGAGATGGCTCAGAGGTTAAGAACACTGACTTTCCTTCCAGAGGTCTTGAGTTCAAATCTCAGCAACCACATAGTGGCTCACAACCATCTATAATGAGATCTGGTGCCCTCTTCTGGCATGTAGGCACACATGCAGACAGAATACATATACATAATATGCAGAATTGTATACATAATAAATAAATAAATCTTTTTTAAAAAAAGAATGCTCAAGGCATTTCTTTGATGCATCAGATGACTTCTCAGGGTGGGCAGAGTTTGAACTTGGAAATATTGTATTCCACAGTCGTCCTACTCTTTCCTTCTTGATTGGCAGTTGTTGAGGTTTCACTACATTGAATTGTATTCCTTTTATCCACATAGACTCTATGCCTACACAAGTATATTTCTGCTTTGGGCTCTTTTGGTAAGAGCATTTAGACAGGGAATTCCATGATGAGAATTCTGTTTTCATTAGTTTTTATCACATCTGTCACAGAAGCTTTATATCAGTAAGTGTGTTAAATGGTCCTTAAAAACATAACTTAATTCTGGGCTCTGTGGTTAAGAGCACTGACTGCTCTTCCAGAGGACCTGGATTCAATTCCCAGCAACCACATGGAAGCTTACAACTGTCTGTAACTCCAGTTGCAGAGGATCTGACACCCTCACACAGACACATGCAAGCAAAACACCAGTGCACATAAAACAAATAAATATTTAAAAATACATCTTTATTTCTTGGTAGGATTTGGAATGTTTCTTTCTCTGCCAGTTTTTCTCCCTGATTATTATAGTCCCTTATCAGGTGCTGGGTTACTAAGGGCTAAGGTGTGTCTGACTGGTCCATGATTAGGAAAGTTGGGAATTAAAGGCAATCATAATTGCTGTGTCTTAATGAAACTGTTACACAACCTATTTATAATAATAAACAAAAAGTTGAAAGGAATATGAAAAACAAATGCAAATTAAGAATTTTTCTTCTTGGCATGTGGTCCTGGTGTACAACTTTAATCTCAGCACTCAACGGTGAAGTGACAAGGCAGACCTCTGAATCCAAGGCCAGCCTGGTCTTCAGAGCAAGTTTAAGGACAGCCAGGGCTACACAAAGAAACCCTATCTCAAAAAACAAACAAACAAAATTTTCTTCTTGTCCCAATAGTTGTGCTCCTGTTCTTGATTTTGGATCTCATTGACATAGATGATCCATCCATGCAGCTCTTTTAGGGGAAAATATTTATTACTGGTGTTATACTCTAAGACCAGAGACACAGCATGGAGGTACAGTATGCATTGCTACCCCACCCCTACTAGTAATGAGTGTGGCCTTACTTCTTTGGAGAGGTAGACATTAGGTAGGCAGACATATCCCAAAAGTAAAAACTATTTAACTGATCAGTATTTTTTCTTTTTCTGAGACAGGGTTTCTCTGTGTAGCCTTGACTGTCCTGGAACTTGCCCTGTAGACAAGGCTGATCTCAGACTCAGAGATCCACCTGACTCTGCCTCCCGAGTGCTGGGATTAAAGGTACCCATTGCCCTGCTAGCTGATTAATCTTTAAGGATGACAGAGATCCTTAGTTTGGAATCTGTGGATTGGCTTCAGGAAGTTTGAATATGTGTGTATGTATGTCCTTGGTTTTTAATAGGTAAATTCATACTTTTATACATGTCTTTACATGGAGCTATAACCTAGATAAAGGACATAGCTTTAAGTGATCTTTTTGTAATAGTAGCAGTATATAATTCCATATTTTAAGAAAATCTGTTTGTAAAGATTTATATTTAATTGTATGTAGGTAGGTGGGTCTGTGCATGTGATCAGGTACCTTTGGAGGCAGGAGGGCTTCAGATCCTCTGGAACTGCAGTTAAAGGTTGTTGTGAGCCAACAGATGCGGTGCTGGGATTCAAACTTGGGTCCATAGGACGAGCAGTAAGTTCCTTTAAGCTCTGAGACATCTTTCCAGTCTGGATTTAAAAATCTTAAAAGTGAAACATTAAGAAATAGTTTTTGTTATTTTAGCTTATATTCTAGTTTTTTNTATAGTAAAGAAAAAGAAAGAAGAGGTGATAAAAATACAACTTCTAATGAAAAGAAATGATTTCTTTTAAAGATTGGTGTTGACAAGAGCATGTCTTAAACTAGTATTTTTTTTCTCTGTGTATATTTTAGATCAACAGAGGAGAATATTTTTGCCACCTCCACCTGGAATTAGAAAGTGTGTCATATCCACCAATATTTCTGCAACATCTTTGACAATAGATGGGATCAGGTACAACTTTTTAAAAAACTTATTTGTGTATATGTATGCTTGTGGAGGTCAGGACAATTCGAGGGAATTGGTTTTTGCCTTCTACCATTTAGGTACTGGAGATTGCATTCAGGTGACCAGACTTACATACAAGTGCCTTTTCCCACTGAGCTGTTTTGCTGGCCCAGGTTTAAAACTTTTGAAAATTCTCTAAAAGTGAAGGAAACCATTTAGTTAACATAAGTCATTACAGAGTTTGCAAACCTGTGTTTTTTACTAATTCCTTTCTCACCTATTTCTTAATGTTTTATTTTCTTACTTTTTTCTTTTATTTTGTCTTTGTTTGTTTACTCTGTAGCTTTGGAGCCTGTCCTGGAACTAGCTCTGTAGAATAGGCTGGCCATGAACTCACAGAAATTCACCTACCTCTGCCTCCTGAGTGCTAGAATTAAAGGTTACCACCACTCGACTTTTTTTTTTTTTTAAGTTTTATTTGTATGTACATATACACAGAGGTCGGAAGGCATTGGGTGTCCTCCTCTCTCATTCTCCACTGTATTCCTTTTGAGGCAGGGTTTTTCACTCAACCTAGAGGTCCTATTTTTCATCTGGGCTGGCAGGTAGTCCCATCAATTCTGTCTTTCTCTGCTCTGTTAGGGAAAGTGCCTGGCCCGTGCCTGGCTTGCTACATGGGTGCTAGGATTAGAATGCCCATGAATGTATAGCCACTGCTCCTAACTGCTGCTAAGCCATCTCTTCAACCTCTTTTTAATGTTCTTAACTTATTCTCACCTTTCTTGTGTTTGTTTTTATATTTCTTTAAAGAATATCACTGTGTAAACCTGGCTGCCCTGGAACTCACTATGTAGATCAGGCTGATTTCAAACTCCAGAGATCTTCCTGCCTTTGCCTCCCAGGTGCTGTGACTAAAGGTATGTACCACCACACCTAGCTCACCTTCCATATTTTATAATTACTGATTGCTTTGAGTGAGAAGTGGAGTAGGAAATACACTCTGAATTGTGTAATCTTTTTAATTAATTACTTGTTAAATTGAAGCCTTTTCTTCCTAAATACAAGATTATTTATAGTGCTTCATAGGGTTTTAGCCAGCTGCTTTTCTAGCTGCCATTATCAAACCTTACATGGTTTGATACACCTTTTTGTCCCCAGCCCAATTTGGTAGTTTTATCTGGAGGGAGTGTTTCTTTCACTTTCTTGTGGAGTTGAATTATGGTGCAAGTTCCTATTGCTTTTGGATGTACTCAATAAGGCAGTCAGATTTTGAGTAAAATTAGTAGAGAATCACCTGGAAAGTTCAATTCCATAGTCATAGCTAATGTGAAATTCTTCAGGCTTCTAAGCTATGTCCCTTTCTGATACTTTATCTATTTTATATCTTTCACTAAGTCATACTGCCTGCCACACAACGGCTAGGTCACAGTCTCTAAGACTCAAATTATATTTCTTCTGGGTGAATGAGTAAAGAGAAATTACATTTCTTCTACTTAAAAAAAAAACAAATAATGATTATGGGCTGGATAGTTAGCTCAGCAATTAAGCATGCTGTTCTTCCAGAGCACGCAGGCTCAGTTCCTAACTCCCACATAGCAACTCACAACCACCTGTGACTCCAGTTCCATGGGATACAGTGCCCCTTTCTGGCTTCTGAAGGCCTCAGGCACATATGTGGTATACAGACATGCCTGCAGGTAAACCATGTACGTACACACACACACACACACACACACACACACACACACACACAGAGGCATGAACACATGTGTACATGCAGAAAGAGACAGAGATTTAAAAGAGCACTTGTACTCGCAGGGGACCTGGTTTTGGTTCCCAGCATCCATGGCTACTCAAAACTGTATGGTCCTCCAGTTCCAGAGGTTCTGATGCCATCTTCTGTCTTCTGTGGACAGTGCCTTCATATGGTGTACATATATACAAAGAGGCAAAACAAATAACACTCAGGAGACAGAGACAGACAGATCTCTGTGAGTTCAAGGCCAGCCTAGTTTACAGATTGAGTTCTGGGACAGCCAAGGCTACATAGAGAAACCCTGTCTCGAAAAACAAATTTTAAAAAAGTAAATAAAAATAAAAATAATGATTTCTTATTCAGGTATGTTGGATTGTAGTGTATCTGTAATTCCAGCACTCAGGAAACAGAGGCCGGGAGATCTTGAGTTTGAGGCCATCTTAAGGTACACGTAGTGACTACAGAGTCAGCTTTGGCCATACAGTAAAACCTTGTATCAAAAATAAAATACAAATAGATACTTAAAATTTTAAATAAAAAATAGCGATTTCTCTAAAGGGTTAGAGCAGTAGAGTACATTGACTTCTGTAATTGTATATTTTCCGTTGTTTAGTAAAATGATAGACTTGGTGCTATTCCTAACTTTTTACCCAACTTGTTATACAGTGGCTTAAAACGGGATGCTAAAGAATTAGATTTTGAATCTGTTACAACAGTTCAGAGCTCAGTGTGAACCCTGTTTTAATAAATTTAAAAATGGAAAAAAAATTTAAATTTCATACATTTACAGTTTTGTTTAAGTACTACCTCTATCTAGTTCCCAAATATTGTTCACTCAAAATAAAACAAACCCCATGTCTATTAAGCAGGTACTTTACCACTGAGCCATCTTGCTGGCTCTGAATCTGTTAGGGTTTTTTTTCAAATGATTTTTTTTTATGTGTATGGGTTTTTTGCCTGTATTTATGTCTGTACATCAGATGCATGCAGTGTCTGTGGAGGCCAGAAGGCTGCAGGATCCTCTTGGACAAGAGTTACAGGTGGTTATGAGCCACTGTGTGAGTTTATCTATAAGAGAAACTACTGAGCTATCTCTCTAGTCTCCATTCTGTAAGGTTTTAATGAACAATTTGGTGAATTTTTACTTTCTTGGTTTTTGTTATTACTTCTGGTATGAATAGTGATCTACAAATGTTTGTATATTCTTTTGGTACCTTTGTATCTGTACTTAGGAATGGAATTGCTAGAACACATGGTAATTCTATTTTAGCTTTCTGAAGAATTGCCAAAATGTTTCCTTCATTGGCTTTACCACCATTAGTTTGCGAAGACTTTACTTTGTCATCAACTATGTATGATGATGGTTCCATTTCTTGACTTTCAACTTTTTTGTTTTCTTTCTTTTTTTAACATTCATTTATATTATTTAACATACTCTGTGTTTGTGTGTGTGTGTGTGTGTGTGTGTGTGTGCGCACTTGTGTGTGTTGGTTCTTGCCTTGTACCATCCTGGTTCCAAAGATTGAACTCAGGTTATCAGGATTTTGGCATGTGCCTTTACTATCTCCAAATCATCTCCTTTTTATATTTAACATAAATAGTGCAGTAACTGCGGTAGAAAAGGAGACCCTGAAGTGGTTAAAATGGACAAGTTTGGGGGCTGGAGAGATAGCCGAGTGGTGAAGAGCACTGGCTACACTTCCAGAGGGCTTAGGTGTGATTCCCAGCACCTATTTGGTGCCTGCCAACTGTCTGTAACTCCATTTCTAGGAGATCTACTGGTAGCCCTCTTCTTGCCTTGGTGGGCAACAGACATGCATGTGGTGCACAGTAATTCACATGGGAAAACACCTATACACATAAAGTAAAAATTAATGCATCTCCCCTTATTTCTAGATATTTAACTTGCTTTCATTCTCTTAGATATGTAGTGGATGGAGGCTTTGTGAAGCAGTTGAATCACAACCCCAGATTAGGGTTGGACATCCTGGAGGTGGTTCCTATTTCAAAGTAAGTCTCTTTATCAAGCTTTTAAATTCAAAGAACAACTAGCTGATTAAAGTATTTCTACTTGTTTGAATATCGGAAGTAAATTACTTGGCAAACCCACAAAACATTTGGGGACTATTTTTGTTTTCTTTTGTAGAAGTGAAGCATTACAGCGAAGTGGCCGAGCTGGCAGGACTGCCTCAGGAAAATGCTTTCGGATTTATAGTAAAGATTTTTGGAACCAGTGTATGCCTGATCATGTGATCCCAGAGATTAAGAGAACTAGTTTGACATCTGTAGTTCTGACATTAAAGTGCCTTGCCATCCATGATGTCATAAGGTATGTGGGCGACCTCGAAAGCCATGTGGCTAGAGTGGAAGAAGCCTGGTTATGTCTCAGAAATCAGTTTCACTTTTTGACTAATGTGTTCCTGGGAATTGAGACTAATCTATTTCCAGGGTTTGTTCTCTTGTTGGTTGCTATTAAACTAAACCAAAAATATTAATTTACCTAAAACAGAACTCCGTATTTTAGCCATTTTAAAGTGTGCAGTTCAAATTGTTGTTAGTAGATTCACATGTTATATGATCCTTACCACTGTCAGATATCGGAACATTTTCATCAGCCTCAAATTGTTATCATTTAAGATTGAGGAATCTAGAAGTAAACAGTGTTAAACTAATACTTGCTTTCAAGTTTTTTGATTTTTTTTTTTTTTTCGAGACAGGGTTTCTCTGTAGCTTTGGAGCCTGTCCTAGAACTAGCCCTGTGGACCAGGCTGGCCTCAAACTCACAGAGATCCGCCTGCCTCTGCCTCCCGAGTGCTGGGATTAAAGGCGTGCGCCACCACCGCCTGGCTAAAACTCTAGAATTGACAAAGACATCTTGCTGCCCGGACAGTCACCCAAAGTTCTTCTGTACCATTGGGGCATCCATCTTCTGCCTACAGGCCCATAGCAGCTGGCAGACTTTTCCATGAAGCAGGATATTTTTGGAACTGGAGTTATAGGTGATTGTGAGCCACATGTTGGTTCTGGGAACCAAACATGGGCCTCTGTAAGAGCAACACATGCTCTTAATGTCTGATCCATCTTTCCAGATCCCATTGATGTTTTTTGAGGATCTCATGTCTTTCAGGCTGGCTTTAAACTTGCTATATAATGTGGTAGGATTATAGGCATGTACTGTCAGAGCACATACTGTAATCATAGTACCAGGAGAGCTAAGGTGGAAAGACTGCTGGGAGGCCATAGCCAGTGTGGAATACACAGCAGAACTCTATCTTGAGTAAGACCAAAAGGGAAAGAAAAAGAAGAAAGAAACCAGGTGTAAGCCTGGTGTGGTAGCACTTTATCGTCATAGCCCTTTTCTTGTAATTAAAATAAGAGGGTTGGGAGACCAGGCATGGTGGTGCACACCTTTAATTTTACCTCTTTGAAGGCAGAAGCAGGTAGGTCTCTTTGAAATCAAAGCTAGCACTGAGTTACTATTAGATAACTTGAAATTTTCAGCCACTTTCAGTTATTTTTTCCTCTTTATTTAAATTGTGTGTGTGCACACGCACATATGTGTGCATGGGGAGTTCAGAAGACAACTTGGAGGAGTCAGTTCTCTTCCATCATGGAATCTTGGAGATAGAGCTCATATTGTCAGGCTTGATGAAAAGCGCCAAAACTGATCCATCTTGTTGACACTTTTCTCTATTTTGTAACCATTTTGTAAACTGTCATGACCTGTAGAAGAGAAAGTGATTGGCTACAAAGTACAAGTCCAGAATCATGATTAAGTAGTGGCACACCCTTTACTCCCAACACTCAGGAGGCAGAGGCAGGCAGATCTCTGTCAGTTCTACAAGAGCTAGTTACAGGACAGGCTCCAAAGCAACAGAGAAACCCTGTCTCGAAAAAAGATAAAGAGAAAAGATGGGAGTATTCCAGCCAAGGAGAATGAGGTATGTTTTGAATGAGAGGAATGTGATTCCAGAAAAGCAAAAATTTCCTCTTTTTGAATGCTGACCATGGTGCTAGAATGTTTTCAGGGAGAGGACTTGAAAAATGGAGGCAGGGCATGGTAAAGCACACCTCTAGCCCCAGCACTTGGGAGGCAGAGACATTGCTGTGTTTGTGAGTTTGAGACTGTCTTGGTTGAGTTCAGGACAACTAGGGCTATGTAAAAAGATACCTTGTCCACAAAACAAAATGAAAGAAAATGAAGTGGATAAGTAAAACTTTTTAAGGAAATTTCTATCAAGTGTGTCTTAAATCCTGCTGTGAATAATCTTGACTTTTTCCTATCTCATTTAAACACACAGGTTTCCATATTTGGACCCGCCTAATGAGAGACTTATTTTGGAAGCACTTAAACAGCTTTATCAGTGTGATGCTATCGACAGGTATATAATATAATACAAACATATTGTTAGTCTTATTTTGTTTGTAGCTATGTAGTAGTCCATGCTGACCTTGACTATAATCCTCACGCCTCAACTTCTCAAGTACTAGAATTACAGGCATGAGTTTTGTGCCTGGCTTTTTTTTGATTTGTTATTTAAAAAAAGATTCTAAGTCTTTCTTCAGAAATAGAAAGGAATTGTTTTCAATGTGAATGAATTGTTTTACATGATATTAAAATCTGTCCTTAGTCTTTATCACAGTTCTCAAATACTGAACTGTAAAGACATTTTCCTGTAGCTAGAAATGAAAGTGTGTGCCTGTATCTGGGAGCCTGAGGCTGTAGTATGGCATTTGAAACCAGCCTTGAGAGGCTTTGCCTAAAAAAACCAAAACCAAAAAACAAACAAATAAAATCTCCAAAACTCTGTAAACGAGGAGAAGAAATGAAAGTTTATTTTAAAAAGCCAAACTAAGCCGGGCAGTGGTGGCGCACATCTTTAATGCCAGCACTCGGGAGGCAGAGGCAGGTGGATTTCTGTGAGTTCGAGACCAGCCTGGTCTACAAGAGCTAGTTCCGGGACAGGCTCCAAAGCTACAGAGAAACCCAGACTCGAAAAACCAATAAATAAATAAATAGCCAAACTAAATCACTTTTTAAATGTGATTTTAGTTAACAAGTAATTTTGAATACCATCCCAATGCCGAGCATTATTCTAGCTACGTAAGAATGCTAAGACTTCATTGTCATGGTTGTATGTTGAGGTAAGGTTTGATCATTGGTTTCCCTTTATTTCTTCAAGAATATCTCTGCTCTGTTGAATGTTTATATTACAGTTTTCTATCTCATTGAGTAGTTTTTTTGAGGGGGATGTATTAAAATTTCTGGGCCATGTGGTGGTGGTGCATGCCTTGAATCCCAGGACCCAGGAGACCGAGGCAGGCAGATCTTTGAGTTCAAGGCCAATGTGATTTACAGAGTGAGCTCCAGGACAGCCAGAGCTGTTACAGAGAGAAACTCTGTCTTGAAAAATTAAAAATAAGTAAATAAACAAATAAACAAATAATCTGGGCTGACCTGAGTCTGATCACTGGGACCACAGGTGGAAGAGGAAAACCATCCCCACAGGTTATCTGCTGACCCCAACATACGTGCTGCTTTATGTGCGCACACATTCATTATTTAATAAGTAAGAATGCAACAAGAAAAGGGAAAGAAAAGTAAGACTTGTAATAATGGAGGATTTATTTATTTTTAGCTGTTCTTCAAGACAGGGTTTCTTTGTGTAGCTCTGATGTCCTGGAACTCAGAGATCTGCCTACTATTGCCTCCTAAGTGCTAGAATCAAAGGTGTGGGCCAACCACTTTTCATTGTTCTTACCAGTGACCATGGTGTTTTATTCTTTGAATTGGTTTTCTAGAGATGAGTTTAAGTAATTAAATTATATCTTACTTATTCTGAATGATGAACATTGTATTTGTTTTGTCCCAAAGTCCTAAGAACTTTTTCTTTCTCTTAAGGAATGGTCATGTGACGAGATTGGGTTTATCTATGGTGGAGTTTCCTCTGCCCCCACATCTGACATGTGCAGTGATCAAGGCTGCTTCTCTTGATTGTGAAGATTTACTGCTTCCAATAGCAGCAATGCTGTCTGTGGAAAATGTCTTCATCAGACCTGGTAAACACTTTATTTTTAAAGATTCTCTTTGTATTACATTATTTTATCTATTATTTATTTAGTGTGTGTGTGTGTGTGTGTGTGTGTGTGTAAATCCTCCCCCCTTTTTGTGGCATGATAGCTCATTTCTTTTTATCACTAAATTGTATTCCATTCTACTATATGGAATTTGTTTATCCACTTATTAAAAGGAATGGTTTCTTGTAGACTAGGCTTGACTTGAATTCACAGATCTGCCTGCTTCTGCCTCTTGAGTGCTGGGATTAAAGGTGTGCACCACCTCATCTGCCCCAGTATATATTTTGTTAAGTCTTTTTTTTTTTTTTCTGAGACAGGGTTTCTCTGTATAGCCCTGAATGTCCAGGAACTCACTCTGTAGACTAGGCTGACCTTAAATTCACAGAGATCCTGCCGCTTCTGCCTCCCAAGTCTTGAATTGAAGGTATTAGCCAACACTACCCAGCTGTTAAGTGTTTTCTTCAAGTCTTTGATTTATCCTTTCATTGTTTTGGAATTGCTTTTGGCAGACAGACGATTTTGATTTTAATGAAGTCTAATATAACTGTTTTCTTTTGTGCTCTTGGTAGTATATCAATGAGGTCATTCCATACTATGACCATTTAGATTTTCTCATAATGTTGTCATATAATGGTTGGGTATACATTTGTTTCAAGATCATTTGTCAAAACACTGTCATTTCTCTGCTGAAATGTCTTTGTTTCTCTGTTATAGAGCAGTTGACTGAACTTGTTGAGCACTCTTACGTAGTTAGATAAGGGAGTTCCTGACTTTGTTCCTCCCCTTCAGCACTGCCCTGGCTGCTCTGTTTTCTTCTCCATGTGAACTGCAGAGTCAGTTGAAATCCATAAAAGGATTGCAGTGTGACCTGGTAAAGTTAGGAAGAATCGCCATCTTACCCTGTGGAGCTTCTAACCATGTCCATGATATTTGGCTGTTTACTTTGGTCTCCAGTAATTCACAGAGTCTTTTAGGGGGTTACCAAATAGCTGTGGAGTGGGAAACTGGGTAAATGTTTTTATATTTTGTTATCCTTTAACTTAGTTGTTTGGCATAGGGAGTATATAACATTCTTAGCTAAAAGTTAATTTCCCTTCACGGATAAAGTTAGATAATAAGGTGAACCTTTGTTCTTTAGTGGTAAATTAGTAATATATTAACTTGTTTTCTTAGAATGAAAAGAACAGGTAGTTTAGCCCTTTATCCTTAGAGTATTGGTCTTTTCTTATTGTTTTTTAGGTTTCCATGTTCTTATTTATTTTCCTTTTTTTTCTTTGTTTCTTGGTGTGTCAGTATGAGACAGTTTAACATGTGTTGGCTTTGTTTTTTCTAGAGATATAACTTTTTACCTTCAGCTAATGCTGTAACAATAGATTGTGTACTCCACTGGCCTTTCCTTTTGTAGGTTATGATTATTGGGTCCAGACGGATTTGTCATTGCTATGATTATAATGGTGGATACATTTTTCTGTAAAAGTACTGTTATTGAATCAGTTTTCTGCCTACCCCAAATAGACCTCATTTTTAACTGTCAAAATTTTGATTCTTAGGCCCGCACAATGGCTCATTGAGTTAAGGCACTTGCTGCCAAGTGTGATGTCCTGAGGTTTTTTTTTTAATTCATTTTTATGTGTATGGGTGTTATGTCTGCATGTTTATCTGTGCACCATGTGCTTTCTTGGAGCCTATTGAGGTCAGAAGTGGGGGTTGGATCCTCTGGGACTGGAGTTACAGACAATTGTGAGCTGTCATGTAGCTTCTGAAAAGAACCAGGTAATTCTCTTAACTGCTGAGCCATCACTCCTGTCCTGACATCCTGAGTTCCTCAGAATTCAGAACATGATGAAAGGAGAGAATTAATTCCCATAAGTTATACTCTGACTACCACATACGTGTCTTGGCAAATGAACATGCACAAACACAAAATAAATTTTAAAATTACTCAAATTTTTCCCCCAAATTTTAATTCTCATAATATACCCAATTGCAACCCTTTCTTCAGTTAAATAGTATGTGCAGTAAATAATGTTGATTGGCTTTCATTAGGGAGTATCAAGCCTAAAGATACTCCAGAATTACCGGGGAGTATGAAGTGAAAGTCAGGAGTTGAGTGTTCTCACTGTTCTGTTACCTGACTATGAGCCTAGCTTTCTCAGACTCCCATGTTTTTCATTTATAAAACCAAAGAGCCAGTTATAGTGGTGCATGCCTGTTGAAATAAGGAGTGGCGGGGCTGCGTCCCCCAGCACCCCGGCCGCCTGCTAGCTCATGCCCGAAATAACAACACACAAACTGTATTCATTTAAAGACTGCTTGGCCCATGAACTCTAGCCCTTACAGGCTAATTCTCGCACCTGGACTAGCCCATTTCTAATAATATGTGTAAGCACCCCAAGGTGCGCTAACCGGGAAGATTCTAACCTATGTCCATCTTGGGTCAGAGCTTCATCGCGTGTGCCTCAGAGAGCAGAGCTATTGGGAGAGCGGAGCATGGCATCTCTGCTCCAGAGAGCAGAGCTGTCGAGTCTCTCTGGAAGCAGAGCAGAGTCTGACCTTACTTCCTCTTCTTCCCAGAATTCTATTCTGTTTACTCCTCTCACCTATGCTTTAACCTATCAGGGCCAGCCAAGCAGTTTCTTTATTGTTCAATGACCTTCCTCCATCACATGCCTGTAATCCCATCATTTTATAAGGCAACATTGGAGGACCTCTGGGCGTTTGAGGCCACCCTGGGTTATGTAGTGAATTTATGAACATCTCTCTCTTTCTCTGTGTGTTTTTGGGTTGAAACTCTCTTACCTTCTCCCAGAAAACAAAACAAAAACAACAGTAGCAAACCAGGAAATTGGGTTCAACACTAATTGGGTTCAATAGTTAAGGCTAGAAAAAGAATCTGGTTGGGTGACAAGATCAAGTGATCTTGAAGGTCTTCATTGACATTTTAAAGGCAAAATTTAAATATAGTGAAATGCATGCACATTACCATAATTCAGTGAATTTTGTGAAATGAATATAGCCATATAACATGCACCCCTATCAAGATAGAGAATGATTTGGACTGGTGACATGACTGAGTTATGTTGTGAGCACTTGCCACCAAGACTGACAACCTGAGTTCATTTCTGGGATCCACAGGGTAGAAGGGGGAAACTCCTACACATTGTCCTATGAACTCCATTTGCAGAGTGACATGTAGTATGTGCGCGCGTGCCTTACACCCCAACATAAAAGAAGACAGGGTTTCTCTTTGTAGCCTTGGCTGTCCTATAACTTGATCTGTAGACCAGGCTGGCCTTAAACTCACAGAGATCTGCCTGCCCCTGCCTCCCAAGTGCTGGGATTAAAGGCGTGCACCAACACTGCCTGGCTCCAAGTTGGTTTCTTTTCTGGAATTTAAATTTTTTTATTATTTATTCATTCATTCTTTTTTTTTTTTTTTTTTTTTTTTTTTTTAGATAGGGTTTCTTTGTGTAAATCCAGTTGACCTGGAACTCTTTAGACCAGGCTGGCATCGAACTCACAGAGATCTGCTTACCTCTGCCTTTTGAGTACTGGGAATAAAAACGCATACCACCACCACTCAGCTGGAATATTTTTTAAATGTTAGTTTTTTTGAAATTACAAGTAGAAAAACAATATGCAATTTTGGGTGTGTATTTGACTTTTGGTGAACTTACTCCATGTGAAGTTCATCTGTATTGTTTTATTTATGTGTCTGTATTTTGGTCTTTTGTTGAGTAGTTTCTACTGTATGAACACATAATAAATTGATTATGTATTATTCTGTCTATGAACATGTGTATTATTTTTGTTTAGTGTTTATGAGTAAAATATTGCAAATACTTTGAGTAAATTCTTGTGTGAGCCTTTTGTATATTTTTATTTAGCTTAGCTTTAAAAATGCTTGGGAAAAAATTGTTGTGCTATTGAACAAGTTTATGATTAAGAAACAAGCTGGAATTTAGTACCTTTAATCCCAGCACTAGGGATGCAGAGGCAGGAGGATCTCTTTGAGTTTGAAACTAGCCCGCTCCACATAGTGATCTCAAAAACAAACAAAACAGCCAAATCTTACTCTTAAAATAGTTGTACTTAAAATAAATATTCCATAAATACTGTATTTATTGTTGTAAGTAGCTTGAACTATATTGCACATATCCTCTTCCACAGTTGGTATTGCAGAACCATTTGCACCATATACGCTGTATTATGTATTCCTTTGTTTTCATTTTCCAGTTTTGTGATGGCGAATAATGAGGTTTTTGTTTTTGAAACATAGTCTCGCTGAGTAGCCTCCACTGGCCTGGAACTCTCTAAAGATCAGAGATTTCTGTCTGCCTCTCAAGTACTGGGATTAAAGGCGTGAACTATTATGCCTGAAAAATAATGATTGTTTCTAATGTATTTATTTAGTAGATTAACCAAGAGATTTGACAGGGTTTCACTGTGTAGCCAGCTGAACCTTGTAGACCAGGCTGTCTTTGCTCTCACAGAGATTCACCTGCCTTTTCCTCCCAAGTGCTGGAATTATAAGTATGTGCCACCTATGGACTTTGTTTTGGCTTTTCCTTTGACTCTGTGTCTATATGCTTGTATAAGTGTAGATGTTTTTGGGTGTGGAGGCCAGAGGACAATTTCAGGTGCCATTCTTCAAGCATTATCCATTTTTTCCTTCTTCTTCTTCTTTTTTTTTTTTTTGAGATAAGAATTCTCCCTGAGTGGGGTATGGTGGTACATACCTTTAATCCCAGCATTGGGTGGGTCAGAGACAGGCATGCCTTTGTGAGTTCCAGGACAGCCTGGTCTACTTAGTGAGTTCTATAGCCTGGGCTTTGTAGAGAAACCTTGTCTTAAAAAAAAAAAAAAATCTCACAGCCTCCAACTTGGATTGACTGGCCAGTTAATCTCAAAGTTCCACCTCTTTCCGCCTCCCGCTCCAGTACTGTCATTACAAATAGAGACTACCACATTTGAATTTTTAAATTTTAATTTAAATTAAATTATTTAAAATTGTAATTTAATTTAAATCTTTAGATTTTGTCTATTTTCATTATATGGATCCTGGGGATCAAACTTAGGTCCCCATGCTTGGCAAACACTATACCACTGATCTCCCTAGCATTTTTTATTTGTTTGTTTTTTTGAGACAGAGTCTGTGTAGCCTTAGTTGGTTTAAAACTTACCATATAGACAAGACCAACTTTGAACTTGCAGAATGAAGCTGCTGTCTCCATAAGAGGCTGAGACAGTGTGTAAATGACTATAGTAGGCCAATTGAAGGTTTGTAGCATTGCCTACAATGAACAGAAAAATTAGGCCATATATGTTAGCTTCTTCTTTTTTTTTTTTTTTTTT